TGGTGTTTTTGATGGTGACATTGTGAACCTAACAGGGTTAGATAGGAAACTGGAATTCTTGCATCACTATGGGAACCGTCCTGATGCTTGTATGATCCTTAGGCTCTTACGCATTTAGTTGAGCCAACTGGCCATGCGTGCCAATCTTTTACTCCTACATAGAAGATTGGGATTCTTGTATTACTAGGTGGAGTTTCTTGCTCCCAAAAACTAAAACAATGGAATGGATTAATTTGAGTTATAGACTCGAATCTGAAGGTGATAAAGTATGCTTCTGTATATTCTACTGGGGGCGTGCTGCGATGGTTGGAACGTGGATGCAAATCTTCAGATGATACTGAATTTGCTGTATGTGCATCTGCACTTTGGTTGCGAGTAAGATTGATATTGCAATGAAAGTTTGTTTGTTTTGACAATCTGTCTCTTATTTTTAACTGAGGAGGTGAGAATATACCAGAAACTAAAAGCAAGATTTTATTGGATGCTAGTGATCAATGATAGTTGTATAACTTGAGGGTGGACGAGCTCTGTTCAGGGTACATATAATATTCAGTATCATTACTAATGGAAGGGAAAACAGAGAAGAGGTCTCTGTTTTTTCTTGATTTTGTTGATCAATTAAAAATGGGCTCTATGTTAGACCATCATATCGGATTTCTAAATAATATATCTGTAGGCAGATTGTTCTCATCCTTATGGATCTGGTTAGATGTTTTTATATCAGGAAGCATCCTTAAATTTCATATTTCGGTTCCAATAAATGGTGTGTTGAATATTAAAATTTTTGTCCTATTTTTGGAAAGTATGTGTGTCAGGATAGTAGAGAGAGTTTTCATGTGTCAATGAATCCCCATCTTGACAATTTTGTTTGATTAGACAGTGACAGGGATTGTCCTTGCAGTAATTGTGCTTGCAGTAACCTGACTAGACTATGCTGCACGGTGAATTATACTCGCTTTATCTCTTCAAAGATTGATAAAAATCAGTGTTTAAGAAAAAAAGGACTCTGGTTGTAACTTGCTCGGTCCCAAGCCTGAGTCAGGTACCTGATCCTGTCAGGTAGTTGGTCAAGTCCAAACATTTAAATAAAATATTGGGAACTGCTCAGACCCGACCGGTTTCATGTGTTTGCTTTCGGACTTGGCATGCTGCCAAGCCCCGGTAACTCAGCAGAGTTTCAAGCATTGATAGAAATTAGTACTCTTATTGCTTATGTTCTTGCAATTTTTTATTTGGTTCTGCAAATCTAATTTTGAAGTTGTTCGTCTCTTTTGTTTGGCACCATCTAATTGGTTCAAACAATATATATGATACCCTTGCTAGTAGGTTTATTCTTCATGAGACATTTATGTCATGATAGTGGTCATCAATCCCTTGCAAAATATGAGGCATAAGTTGTTCACCATCAAAGCATTCTATAATGTACACACTATTGTATATGGTTCTAACTATATATCTTTCCCATCCACATTGTCAGTCTTCCACTATATTGACAATAAATTAGCAAATATATGTTTCTGATATTATAAGTGAAATTCTTCATATGTACGAACCAAACGTGCTTTTATACTATATAACATGAGAACCATATGTAAGAACCACATTTAGCACTGAAATAAATGAATCAATAATTTCTCTTTTTCATTTTAGTGAGTGACCTATCTATAATGTCTAGTGTTGTATTGTGGAAAGCTAATTTCTATGACTTCGCTTCCTCGTCCAGCACAGTAAGTGGGCTAATACTAAGAGAGCATTAAGCTCATTTCTCAAAAAATGTTGGTGACAATATTTGGCAGTTCAGACCTATTCATGTAATTGAGACTATTTCCAGCATTGACTTCAAAATGCGATTACTGTGAGTTGAAGGGTATCATACAATGCTGATTCCTTGCAAATGGGGTTTTATATGGTAAAGATTGTTTAAAATAGTGATTGGGGGTTGGCCCATGGAATTCTTAGTTCTAGACAATATACTGAGGACTGGATTATCATTTATAAGGTTGACCTGGAGGAGTTTTTGCACTTTGGAAGTGGTCCAACAGGAGAAGAGATGCAGTAGAATTTCTGATGGAAGGCTCGATAATTCTCAAGTTTAGCCACATTTTGTTATCCCATGGTTGTCTGTTTAGAGTTTCCGAGTGATTTGGATCTTTAATTTTTGAGGCACTTGTCTTTGAGGCACTTGTCTTTAATGGGTTACCCATATTGAGATCTCAATTTTCAAGAATAGTTGCCTAGCCTGTGTCATTTTCTTGTCTGTTGTCCAACATTTTGTCTATATGGGCTCTTTTACTTAATCCTATGCTCTACATTCGAATTGAATTTCTGCAGCTGATTTGAACTTACAAGTTATGATCGTCCCACACCTGTACCATAATGGAAAAACTAACTTGGAGCTTCATTCATGGCACTGTGGGGGAATATCTTGCCCCAGATTTTGATTACATGTTAAAATTGTGCAAGGCAAGAGTAGGAAATTGCAAGGGAGTCCTTTATCAATGTCATCCAACCACTACATTCTAGTAAGCCTTTGTTCATGACAACACATCAATAGTGGTTCCGGCAAGGTGAATACAGTCAAGAAAACAAATTTTGGTTCAACTTCTCCTAGACATTGGAAATCTAGTTCAAGATGTTAATTTAGTGTTACATTGTTATATTTTACTTTATGCCTTATGGGATCAATTTGATTGATTGGTTCAGAAGAACTTGAGATAGCTGGGTTGAAGTTTAGGAGCACAAGAATCGACTTCTTTTTTCAAAGTCTCTCATGGGATTATACCTTGAATTTGAAGAGACTGGTAGTAGTCACGGAGTCTTTGTCCGACATAGTATTGGTTGCTGGGCATTGGCCTAATATGGTCTATTGACCCCCTTCCTACTGCATAAACCTACCAAGATTACTTACAATTGGTGTAAGAAATTGTCCTTTTATTGAGTCATTCTGGTGATAACTGATAATGACAAAAGATGGATAATTGTGAAGAAAGGGTTGAATCAAGTTGCTTTTGAAATGCAACCAAGGGAACTCTATGATAAGAGAATGAAAGAAAAAGGAAGAGTAAAACATAGAATAAAGTCACAGGAGGAGAGAAATTAATACCATGCCCAATTAAACATATTAGTACTTCTTGTGTGCTTGCCACATGTTTTGAGCGATGTATCAAGTTTCCTACAAGAAATATTTCTAGCGTCTTATATTCATGTACTTCTAGAGGGGTAATTCTGTCTTTATAATTTTATGAATGGTAACTTTCATTCACTTGCAAGAGGTATGTAAATCTTAATACATTGTGGCTGTATATAAGTGACTTTCCTCATAATTTTATAACAGATTTTCCAGCACATTCCTCGCTCCCGCCCTCCCTCCCTCCCTCCCTCTCTTATGTAGTCAAGCATATGTATATGAGGTACATGGGATTATACGTTATTTTATATATATATATGGAAGAAAATTGTTTCATTCGGGCTGGACTGCATTTCTACATATGCTGTCTAGAAAATGTAAAGCATCCATCAAGTAGGTGTTCCATCTAAAAACAATGGAAACTAATTGTCCAAATGTTTTCTTATTAGAATTATTATTTTTAGTTTTTTAAATTTATTTATTTTTTGAAATTCATGATTTCCATGTTAGAGATTACATGTATTTAAAAATTAAATCTTAAAATCCATTTCAAAAATAGATTTATTAAGAGGCCTACATTTATACATATGCGGGCTTGGTTGCATAGAAACCGGGTATATATATATAGGGAATGGATGCTGTCAACCCACGGGCTGATTGCTACAGTGTCAGCCAATGGCCCAGATTGAATCTGGGCCGATCTGACGGTTACGGCCTTATTTCGTATTTGAATTGTCATTTTTTTTGTACAAATCTAAATCACTTGAAAATTTAGG